TATATATATATATATAAGCTTTGCTGGTTTTTGTTTCTCTAGAGAACCCAGTCTAACACAGTACTTGACTGCTAATAAGAAGGCTGTCAGCTCAAACCCCTCAGCCACTCCTCAGAAGGTTGGGCAATCTACTTCCTTAGTGATACTGCCTCAGAAACCCAAGGAGGGGACACTATAAGTCAGGTCTGATTCGATGGCACATTAACAACAGAGGCAGAAAGAGGATCTCACTGCCATCAAGAGAAAAGACCTGGAGGTGAAGTGGAGCACCTCCTTGGGCCCGAGACCCCTGAGCTGGACCTCCTTGGCAGAGACACATGGCTGAGAGACGGCAGCAGTGGAACTTGAGACTGAGCAGTAGGCTTACCTGGCTCACAGAGGCAGAAGCCAGGCTGAGAGCCCAAGGGCCAAAAAGGCGTGTCTGAGGGCACAGCAGAGGGAAGACTGTCCTGATCAAAGAACTGTATCCTGAGCACGTTCCTGAATTTGCGTTGTAGCCTATTACTACTTCCCTAATAAACTCCATAATCATGAGTATTGTTTCTGAGTTCTGTGTGGCCACTGCAACAAATTACCGAACCCAGCAGAGAAGTAGTAGGTGCCATGGGAGGGGATGGTTGGTGTCAAAGTTGGTAAAAAGGCTGGAGGGTGGTGGCATGTCTGACTTCACAGGAATAAGCCTTGGGCTGATGTTGATTCTATCTTCCTCTTGTGAAGTTAGAGGAGGGCAGAAGATACTGCGTTCATGTCCTTTTTGCAGTGTGTGTGTATTTTTTCCTTCCTTTTTTAAAGGTCTGCATTCCACTCAATTATATAGCTCACTGTGCTTTCTTCAAACAGACCATTATTGATAGACATCTAGATTATTTCCAGTTTGGGGACTGTTTTGGTTACCTAGTGCTGCTCTGACAGGAATATACCACAAATGGGATGGTTTTTAACAAACAGTTTATTCTCTTAACAGTTTTGTAGGCTAGAAGTCTGATTTCAAAGTGTCAGGCTTTAAGGGCTGGGTGAAAGCCCCTCAACCTTGATCTTCAGCTCTGCCTCCTGCTCCCAGCCCACTGAAGCTGGAGGCTTTCTTCACTTAGGCAACTGCTGGCTGCTGAGGCTGACAAACCCAAGGTTGACAAGTAAAAAGGCACAGTCTTGATGTTACCAAACCACATGGCAGGCCATTAATTCAAGTCCACTGAAACTCCTAAGATTGGCAGAGTATGGTAGGCTGCTGAAAGAAGACTTGGCTACATGCAGGGTTCAAGCATGCCAAAATGCTAGAGACCTTCCTCAAAGTTGCTGCTTATACTGGAAGCAACCGGTAGATTCCACCATGGAGTTAATTAGCAATTTCACCATGGAGAATAACTACATCCAGCTGCCCAGCCACTTACCCAGGCCCAGCCAAGTTGACATACAACCTTAACTACCACAGGGCCCTTACAAACAATGCTGCATTTGCAATTTATTTTATAGTAGATAATTAAATGTCCATCTTTATAAATATTCAAAAATTTTAAAATACTACAATATTAAAATAAATATACACTACAAGTAGGATTCATTTCAGGATCGCAAGAAGATTGAATATTACAGAAATCTGCCAACATAATGCACAATATTAATAGATCCAAGAAAAAAAAATTCGTAGATTGACAGATATTTTCTTAATGTGACAAAATATGTGTGTGTG